GAGCAGCGGCTGGGCGAGCTCGGGCGGCAGACCGCGGCGCTGGAGGCGCGCTGCCAGGAGGCCGAGGTACAGCTTCGGCTCGTCGCCGCCAGCGGCGCCCCCGGAGCAGAGGAGGCCTGCCTCCCGACGGGGAGGAGGAGAACGAGGAGAAAAAGGACGAGGAGGAGGAGGAGGAGCAGGAGGAGCAGGAGGAGGAAACGCAGGAGGAAACGCAGGAGGAGGAGGAGGAGGAGGAGGAGGAGGAGGAGGAAATGCAGGAGGGGGAGCAGGAGGAGGAGGAGGAGGAGGAGGCGAGTCGAGAAGGAGGGGAAGGAGGTAGGGGAGCAGGAGGAAGAGGAGGAGGAGGAACAGGAACAGGAGGAGGAGGATGACAGGCTGCCCGACAGGCCGCATGCGGCGGGCGTGGGCATGTGACCACGCTTCCCGGAGGACAAATCATGAGAATGCTAATGTGAATGAAGACTAGGAAGAGGAGGAGGGGGAAGAATAGGAGGAGGTACGAAACCCCACGCCCAGCCGTCGCCGTGCAACCGCACTAGACTACATGCACCGGCATGCCGCGCGCCCCTCGTGCGAGAGCCTCGACGCAGCTGCTATTCGCCCTGTCGCCGCCGTCAGCGCAGGCCCCGACGAGATCCACGCGTCCCACGGGACGGGCCGGCCCAGGGGCGGGTCGGACGCTAGGGGCCTTCGGGGCGCGGCCTGCCTTCAGGTTGGCGAGCTGTCACGGCTGCGTCGGGCGCCAGTGCACTTGTCTTGCAGCTCTCCAAGGCGACGATGGGCGTTGCGCCCGCACCTGCGGGCACCAGACCACTCCCGCCGTGCGCCACCAGTTGTGGCAGTGGCCAGTGACGCGCACCTGCCAGCTGCACTGGGAGCTGCGCCGCTGCGTGGGCCGCGCAGCACTGTTCCCAGAGCGCCTGAGCTTTCCCGGATCTCTTGCCGCACTTCTGGCACGCTCAGTTTTTGCCGCGTCGGCGAGTTGAAACGTGCGCCTCGGATGGCTCTGGGAGCAGCTGCCTCGGGGGTCGAGGAGGCTGCCCCGCCCTCTCGTCGACCACGGCATTGCCGCGAGATGTGAGCAGCTCGCGGCCTTCAGAGCGGCCAGGGCCGTCGCTGACCAGTGGGCCTTCGCCTTGCGGAACTTGACGCCGTGCTGGCCCGCGCCGAAGTCGTCTATTCTCCGGCAAACATGTCGCCAGAGATCCGCGTCCAGCCTGGCTGCTCCCACGCGCCACATTTGGGCCCGCGGCGATCCCGTCCAGGATGCTCTGTGGGTCTATGCGGAGTGTGAGCGGCGGCAACAGGAGGAGGAGAAGGAGGAAGAGCAGGAGGAGGAGAAGGGGAAGGAGGAGGGCGGAGGCGGAGGCGGAGGAGGAGGAGGAGGAGGAGGAGGAGGAGGAAGAGCAGAAGAGGAGGAGGAGGAGGAGGAGGAGGAGAGGAGGCGGAGGGGGCGAGTCGAGAAAGAGGGTAATGAGGAGGAGGAGGAAGAGGAGGAGGAGGAGGAGAGAGAGGAGAGGAGGGGGAGGAGGGCAAGGAGGAAGAGGATGATGATGACGAGGAGGAGAAGGAGGAAGAGGAGGAAGAGGAGGAGGAGAAAGAGGAGGAGGATGGGGAATGGGTTAGAGGAGGAGGAGGTGGAGGAGGAGGACGGCGAGGAGCAGCAGGGGGAAAGGGGGATAGGAGGACGAACAGGAGGACCGGAGAGGACGGATAAGCAAGTAGAGCGGAGGGGGAGGAGGTGGAGGAGGAGGAGGAGGAGGAGGAGGTGGAGGTGGAGGAGGAGGAGGTGGAGGTGGAGGAGGAGGAGGAGGCGAAGGAGGAGTAGGAGGGGGAGGAGGAGGCGGAAGATGCGGAGGAGGTGGAGGACAACGGGATGGATCAGGAGCGAAAAGTGGAGTTGAAGGAGAGGGAGTAGACGGGCGTTGAGGAGGAGAATGAGAACGATGGCGATGGGAAACTGATGAGGTTGATGGATGATGGGTAATGGGCGATGGGTGAGCGGTGATCGGTGATCTGCGATGGGTGACGATGATGATGACGACGATGACGATGACGATGCCGATGCCGATGCCGATGACGATGACGATGATGCTGTTGCTGATGAGGATGATGATGATGGTGGTGGTGATGGTGATGATGGTGATGATGGTGACTGTGATGGTGACGGTGAGAGTGATGCTGCTGATGGTGATGTTGATGGTTGATGATGGTGACGTTGGTGTTGACATTGTTGTTGTTGATGATGGTAGTGATGAGGATAGTGGTGATGATGGTGATGATGGCGGTGATGCTGAGTGTGATGATGATGTTGCTAATGGTGATGGTGGTGATGATGATGCTGATACTGGTGATGATGATGGTGATGATGACGATGCTGCTGCTGATGATGATGATGCTAATTTGAATGATGCGGGTGCTGATGATGATGACGCTGATGGTGATGGTGATGATGCTGCTGCTGATGATGATGATGATGATGATGATGGTGTTGACGATGGTGATGATTACGTATGCCGATGATGATGCCGACCATGACGATCAGCGTCGTTCTCTTTGTCAGTATAATCAGCAGCAACCTTAGCATGATCAGACTCGTGGTCATACGCTTTATCAGTGTACTGTTGACGCTGCTGTTGGTGCTGCCGGTGATGATGGTGATGACTGGTGGTGGTGGTGGTGGTGGTGGTGGTGGTGACGGTGGTAGTGACGGTGATGATGCTGATTATGGTGAGGAGGAGGAGGAGGAGGAGGAGGAGGAGGAGGAGGAGGCCACCGCCCTGAGGGGTGAAATAGGTGGGGGATCTTCATTTGCTGGGCCGTCGCAAGCCCCGCTTGTCGCAACCGCGGGGTGCGGCACCGAAAAGGGGGCAGGATGCTGCGCAGGAGAGGTCTGGGGAAAGGATTAAGGGGATGTTGGTTAGGGGGAGCGGGGGAGGGGAAGGGAGGATACGGAGGAGGAGGAGGATGAGGAGGAGTTGGAGGAAGAAGAGTACCAGCTTAAATCCAAAAGTCATCCACGATCTTGTCCCTTCGGAAAGTGCTCGTGCTCAGCATTGCCCCATGGACGTGCAATTCAGTCAAGAGCCCATGGTCATGCAATTAAGTCGAGAGCCCCGTTTGAACAGGAGCTGCCATCCATGCTTCTGGCTATCATGACGGCGACGAGGTAGGATTATACAGTTCAGCGACGTGTCAAGCGATGGCATCGCTTTACACACCGCGCATCACAATTCCTCCCCGATTCGCCTCACACGCGAACACACACTTGTGCAACTGTTGCGCAATTCTAGACGCTTCGCGTAACCCCTCTAGCCCATCCAGAAACGATGCCCAGAGAAATCGCCTCGATCAGGGAAGTGGGCAGCACACAGACGAAGGGTCCCCCAGTGGAGGCCTCTTGGAGCGTCTTGGGGTCCCGGTCCCAGACGCCTCTGAGAGCGTCTTGGGTGCCTCGGAGAGCTTATTGGGGCCTCTTGGGAGTCTCTTGGGCGCCTCTTGGAGGCCTCTTGCGCGCCTGTTGGGACCTCCTGGGGCCTCATGGGCGCCTCTTGAGGCCCTCCTGAAGCGCTCTTGGGAGCCTTGGGAGCGCTCTTGAAGCCCTCGTGGGCCATCTTGGAGTCCTCTTGGCCCATCTTGGAGCCACCTTGAGGCCTCGGCGAGAAAGCCAAAATATGGATTTGCCTAAGGTTTTGAAAGGACTTGGGCCTCTTCGGGGCCTCCTGGGGGAGCTATTTGGCCACTTGGAGCCGTCTTGGAGCTGTCTTGGGGCCTCTGGGAGCATCTTGGGAGCCATCTCGAGGCATCTGAGGATATCTTGAGCCATCTTGGAGGTCATCTTGGGCTCTCCCAGGCGCTCTTGGAGTCATCTGAAGCAGTGCCCCCCCCCCCCCAGGAGGCCAAAATGTGGCCAAAACCTGAGTAACATCAATGATTTTGGCATTGTCGCCGAGGCCTCTTGGAGCGTCTTGCGTGCCTCTGGGGGGCCTTATGGGGCATCTTGGGGGTCTCTTGGGAGCCTCTTGGTGGCATCCTGGGGGCCTCTTGGGAGCCTCTTGGGGCCTCCTGGCCACCTCTTGGGACCCTCTCGGGGCACTGGGAGCCTTGGGAGCGCTCGTGGGGCCATCTCGGAGGAGATCAGTCAAAGAAGGGGAGTTCCTTAATTAGCGTCGCCCCCCCAAGAGGCCAACATGGGGCCAAAGCCCTAGTAACACCAATGAGTTTGGCTTCCTCGCCAAGGCCGTTTTGGACGCCCTGACCGCTCGCGGGGCGCCCCGTCCAAGTCCAGGGGAGGGGGTAATTAGGGGGAGGGGTTAGCCCCTCCCCGAGGGGGAAGACAGGGGGTTGGATGAGGAGCCGCCCTAAACCACCTACGCCCAGAGGGCTGGTGGGATTTGACACGTTTGGGCTATACAACCCAAGCAAGTCTCAAGCGATCGCACCGATTTGAAAAGGGGCTGTCGTCCACCCGCGAAACCAGTACACATTCATATGGCCATACATGGTAAGAGGATGATTCCCAGATTCAATGGCACGTACCGTAGTACCGCCATGTTGAAGAATTTCGTGTGGTGGTCTCAAGCGGGAGCTCCATTGTGAACACGGTCCCCTTTACATCCGTGTATTTGGTGGACGCTTTTAGGACGAATGAGCGCGGTGCTAACACGAGAGCAGCATGTTGAACCTTCCCTACCTGTATAATTGATGGAAGCTTTGGAAACGAATGCGTGCGACGCTAGAAACGAGAGCGGCGCTAACACTCCCAGTTTGGCGTAAGTGCTGGACGCTGTTCGGACGAATGTGCACGGCAGGTTCGCGGCAGCAGCATGCGGGGCAGTCCCAGCAGATGCGCGCCCACTGGAGCAGGCGCGTGACGGTACGCGGTGAGAATGGCGTGCGAGTGCGTTTTCGGTGAGTTCTGTCTGCATGTAGAGCGCGCGGGTGCACTGGGGTGCACTCGTGATCGCATGAAGGAGCGCGCGCGTCTTTGACAGCGCGTGTAGCATGTTTCTGAAAACGGCACGGTTGCCGTCAAAGTCCGCGCTCGCGCAGCAACAGGAGACGCGCGCTCGATGGGCTCGCAAGCGAACGCCACATGCGCGGCAACAATAAGGCTGATGAGCGTGCTAAGTTAGGAGCTGCTTGCCGTCCAGATGCCAGCTGTTGCGCGCAGAAGTATCGCGCGCTTGTTTCCTTCTCTAAGGAGCTGTGCCGTTGGACAGGGGCCAGGGATGCGGACCAGGCTTCTAGGCAGCTCAAAGGCACGGTTGATCTTGCGATCCGAGATAAGTCGGGCAAGATGAGGCGAAGATGCGGGCCTCGGAACCCTTCGCTAGGCTGTGTGACTGGATCCCGGTCGGTTTCCCCCCTCCCGTCTGCGATGTGCCTGCCGACGCCGATCCTAAATGAAATAATTCAACTTCAGGTGCGTCAGCGGAGAGTTTCTGATGTGTTCAATGCACAAGGTTCATTGGCGCTCGCAGGCGATAAGGTCGCAATGTGCACGAAGTGTGGCGGCTACGCCTGGGCAGGAAGTTGGAGCCTCCGTAGGCCTTGTCTGCCTACCTCATGCGCGTTGAAGTGGTAGAGGAGGAGGATGGAGAAAGGGTTCTTTTCTGTTTGGCCGGCGCAATACAGAAAATGGGTGTTTGGGTCCATGCCCAATCCAGAAGTGTTCCACGTCGCGAAGCGAGCGAGGCGTGAGGGACCCTGTTGCCAGTGATGTTGGGTTGAGTTCGTCTCGTACTCTGGTGCAAGAGGTCCGGGGAGACAGATGGAGCGACCAGGAGCTCCTAGCAAGGTTTGGTCTCACGCAGGACATGCCTGAACCGCTCGTAGGTCTGCTGAAGGCCAACTCGAGCGGCAGCGATAATGAGTGGTGATCGTGATGATGTCTACTTGCGCTTTTGGTGCTGCTGGCATTGACAGCGGCCCCAACTGGAATTGAACTGCACTGGGGAGGAGGAAGAGGAGGAGGAGGAGGGAGGGCGAGGACGAGGACAAGGAGGAGGAGGAGAGGGGGAGGAGGAGCAAAACGAGGATAACCAGAGCAGTTTCGGAGGAGGGTCGGAAGAGGAGGAGGAGGAGGAAGAGGAGGAGGAAGAAGAGGAGGGGGAGGAAAAGGAGGAATCTGGAGGAGGAGAAGCACGAGATGGATGGGGAGGAGGTTGAGGAGAAGGAGGAGAAGTAGATGAAAATGGAGGAGGAGGAGGAGGAGGATGAGGATGAGGAGGAGGAGGAGGAGGAGGAGGAGGAGGAGAGGGAGGACGAGAGTTACGAGGCAATGGCAAAGAGCTCACACCGTCGGATGTCTAGGAGAACGATGCCCCCCGCCCTGCTGCTGACCCTGCTCCTGCCGCTCCTGCTCCTGACGCTGCTGCCGCTGCTGCCGCCAGCTCCCCCCCGGGCCGGCCGCTGCCACCGCCGCTCCTGCCAGGGGCCCCTCGAGGCCAGGACTCTGCCGGTGGCCCCAGGAGGCCAGGTTTTGTCTGACCGGGCCAGGGAAAAAGGCGAGGAGTGGCGCACGTCCCGGCCCACGGCCGCCGCTTCCTCGCGCGGCGCCGGCGCCCCTGGCCTGCCAGTGCTCCTCGCCCGCGCCCCCGGGGCGCCGCCTCCGCGCCTCCTCGCTGGCCGCGCGCCCGCCCCTCGCCGGCACCCTCGGCGCCGTCGCCCTCGCTGGCAGCGCCGGAGCCGACGACGCCTCGGCGCCCGACGCTCGTCGCTCCTCGCCGTCGCCGCCGTCGCTCGCCGCTCGCCGCTCGCCGGAGGCCCCCACCGGCGGCCAGTCGTTGGAGCAGCTTCTCGCCTGGCGGGCGCAGCTGGCGGGCGCCGAGGGGCAGCTGCGGGAGCTCCAGGGGGCGCGGCGGGCGCTCGAGGCGCCGCGAGGGCGACGGCCTCGGCGGCCACGAGCACGGCGGCGGCGGCGGCGACGACGACGAGTGAGAGCGACGGGGGAGGAGGAGGAGGAGGAGGAGGAGGAGGAGGAGGAGGAGGATAGGAGGAGGAGAGGAGGAGGAGAGTAGGAAGGAGGAGGAGGAGGGGGACGGCGGGAGGAGGAGAGGGAGGAGGAGGAGGAGGAGGAGGAGGGAGGAGGAGGAGGAGGAGGAGGAGAGGAGGAGGAGGAGGAGGAGGAGGAGGAGGAGGGAGGAGGAGGAGAGGAGGATTTTTTTTCTTGAGGAGGAGGAGGAGGAGGAGGAGGAGGCAGGAGGAGGAGAGGGAGGAGGAGGAGGAGGAGGAGGAGGAGGAGGAGGAGAGAGGAGGAGAGGAGGAGGAGGAGGAGGAGGAGGAGGCGGAGAGGAGGAGGAGGAGGAGGAGGAGGAGGAGGAGGAGGAGGAGGAGGAGGGGAGGAGGAGGAGGAGGAGGAGGAGGAGGAGGAGGAGGAGGAGGAGGAGGAGGAGGAGGAGGAGGAGAGGCGGAGGAGGAGGAGGGAGGAGGAGGAGGAGGAGGATGCGGAGGAGGAGGCGGAGGCGGAGGCGGAGGCGGAGGCGGAGGCGCGAGGCGGAGGCGGAGTGCGGAGGCGGAGCGGAGGGCGGAGGCGGAGGCGGAGGCGGAGGGGAGGCGGCGGCGGAGGCCGGAGGGAGGCGAGGCGGAGCGGAGGCGGAGGCGGAGGCGGAGGCGAAGCGGAGCGGAGGCGGAGGCGGAAGGCTGGAGGCGGAGGCGGAGGCGGCGGAGGCGGAGGCGGAGGAGGCGGAGGAGGCGGAGGAGCGGAGGAGAGAGGAGGAGGAGGAGGAGGAGGAGGAGGAGGAGGGCGGAGGGAGGGCGGAGGAGGAGGAGGAGGAGGAGGAGGAGGAGGAGGAGGAGGAGGAGGAGGAAGGAGGAGGAGAGGAGGAGGAGGAGGAGGAGGAGGAGGAGGAGGAGGAGGAGGAGGAGGAGGAGGAGGAGGAGGGGGAGGAGGAGGAGGAGGAGGAGGAGGAGGAGGAGGAGGTTTAAGTGAGAAGGTGCCTGGTAGAAACCAAACAGTGGGCGCCCGACCCGCGACGAGCACAGGCACTGTTCGGGCTCAAACAAAAACACTAGCAGCAGACAAGCAAGCGCGCACTTTTGGCAACCGCAGGCGCGTGCTGTCCTCTTGAGCCTCAGGTGAGGCTCCGCTGTGCCGCCAGACTGGCGGCTCCTCGGCCCGAACCGCTACGCGGTCAAGGCCGAAAAGCGAAAAGGACCTACGAAGGGCCAGGGAGGGCCTGGGAGGGACGGGCCCGAGAAAGAACTTGAGCCCCAGAGGGGCCGCGGAGAGGGGGAAAGGGACAGAGGCAAGAGAGACCCTTCCCCCTCACCAGGCACTTACTCCCTGAAACCCTACGTTTTACGCACGCTCAAACTCTCACGTTTAAGTGAGAAGGTGCCTGGTAGAAACCAAACAGTGGGCGCCCGACCCGCGACGAGCACAGGCACTGTTCGGGCTCAAACAAAAACACTAGCAGCAGACAAGCAAGCGCGCACTTTTGGCAACCGCAGGCGCGTGCTGTCCTCTTGAGCCTCAGGTGAGGCTCCGCTGTGCCGCCAGACTGGCGGCTCCTCGGCCACCCAGCTTCGCTCACCCCCTCGGCGCCCGTGACTTGCGGGTGGTGCCGAAGGGGCTCACAGCTGGGCGCCTCACTGCACGGCGCGTGCCGGCGCTGGCGGAGCGCCAGCCGGCCTCCTCAACCTCTCCTCGGCCACCCAGCTCCTCTCACCCCCTCGGCGCCCGTGACTTGCGGGTGGTGCCGAACAGGGCTCACAGCTGGGCGCCTCACTGCACAGCGGGTGCCGGCGCTGGCGGAGCACCAGCCGGCTTCCTCAACCTCTCCTCGGGGACCGCACTGGCGGGACGCCCCAGCCACCTCCGCCTCTCCTCGGGGACCGCACTGGCGGGACGCCCCGGCCCTCGGCCTCCTCTCCTCCGCACGCCCCTTCGGCGCCCGTGACTTGCGGGTGGTGCCGACTGGGGCTCGCGGTCCTCCTCCACCTCACCTCCGTCCGTCGATCCAGGGGGTCGCCACTGCCCCCAGGCCATTACCCCAGGACTGCGCACAATCCAGCAACGGCTCCTCCAGTGGTGACACGCCTTGTCTCAACACTCGCACTCCTGGTACTGGCCTCAGGCTCCCAGCTTCTCCTTCACATCAGCAGCCGGTCCGCCTCCCGCCGTTTCAACCTTGTACCCCACATGCAGGGTCGCCACAGACTTCGCCATCGCCTCTGACACTCCAGCGGCGTCCTCATTCGCCTCCCACAAATACTGGTGGAAGGCCCCGCTGTTCCACCGCCCCCAACGCTTGACCAGCTCCGTGTCCTGGAAGCAGTGGTACAGGGCCGTCGCCCCGCCGATTCGGAGCGAATGGCTCTTGAACCTGTCGGGTGGGTAGCCTTCCAGCGCCGCCGCCTTCTGAAGCAAGCCCTGGATACGCTCCCGCGTGATCGGGCTGCCATCTTCCCACCTCGCAAGTGGTAAATGTGCCTCTTTGCCCGCGATACGGCTCGGGAACCAGCGGTGGTAGCACTCCGCCGCCCACACCGGGCAGATGCCGAACGGGTCGTTCGAGCGGTAGTGGTTCCTCGCCTGCCCTGCTCCCTTCTGGTCAGCCTTCGACGCCTTGAACCACAGCACCACCTCGTCCGCGGCAGCGAAGTGGCTTACCTGCTCGCCCTTGCACTTCGGGGCAATGTCCAGCCCGGTCAAGACCTTCTTCAAATCCCAGTGCCCCGAGTGGGCGTACTCCCCAATCCGCATCATGAAGAAGAAAGCGAAGATCACGCAGAAATGCAAGGCCGCGTCGTCCGCGCAAGTGTCCGGCTTCAGCATGTCTCGGATTATCCTCAGCATCTTGGTCGTAACCGGGAGCTTCCTCTTTCCGGGCCCTTGCCAGTTCTCTATCCCATTTAAAGCCATCCACAGTCGCGGCTTACCCGCCAAGGGGTCGGGCTCACCCAGCATCGCGTGGTGTGAACGGATCCCCAGCAACTTTGACCGTATCGTCCCGTGCGACCGCTTCAGGCTGTTGTACAGGTGCACCATGAACCCAGACCTCCGAAGTGTTGTTTTTTTCAAGACGCGTCAAACGTAATGATATTGAGAGGTTGTTTTGATATTTTTCAAACGTCTTGATTTTAAGTGAAATGTGTTGATTTTTCGTCGCATGTCTTGATTTTTGGTCTGATGTCTTGATTTTTGGTGCGATGTCTTGATGTTTGCGTATAGTCGTCGCCGACGATATTGTGTAACATCGGATCGTAGGGGTAACGCCTCATGTATATATATATATATATGTATACAGATACACATTACAGTGCTTACATATATATATAATGTATATATTTATAGATATATGTGTATATATAGGAAATATAGGTCAACATTGGTAATATACTTGTATGTCGTCGAATATCCCCGCGTTGCCAATGTCGATTGCCGCCGCCTGGCGCCACCGACTTCTGCGCTGCCCGCTGTCGTCGCCGATGGCCGCCGTGCTACCGACGTTGACTGCTGCCTGCTCTGCGCTCTGCATATAAATGCATGTATAAGTACGTGTGCATATATATGTATATACAATATACAATATACAATATACAATATACAATATACAATATACAATATACAATATACAATATATATGTTTATATATATATATATTGTATACACATATATATGTATAATAAATAAATATATACATATATACATACATCTATATATAGCGCTTGCTGCGTGCCTCGCGCGCAAATTGTTTGGCCCAGGGCGCCTCCTGGGCCCCCCTCCCTCCCCGCGTTCGCTCCCTCCACCCCGAGATCTCCCTCCACCTCGAGATATCTCCCTCCACCTCGAGATCTCGCCTCCTCGATCTCATTCCCCGTTTTCGCTCGATTCCTCGCTCCCTCCCTCGCCATGGCCGCCGCCATGGCGCGGCACGGCCGCACGGCCAGGGTCGACGCCGAGGTCGTGTCGCAGGCGCTGCCAGGGGAGGGATCCGGGCAGGGAGGAGATGAGAGGGTCAAAATGACGATAAGGAGAGGATCCAGGGGGAGTGCGCAGGGGAAGAAGATCCCCGAGCCCCCTCCCTCCTCCATCGCCCTCCGCCCTCCTCCCTCCTCCTCCCTCCTCCTCCCTCCCCTCCCTCCTCCTACCTCCTCCTCCCTCCTCCTCCCTCCTCCCTCCTCCTCCCCGCTGCCTCGTCCTCCTCCTCCCGCCTCTCCCGCCCCAGGTGCTCTTGATGCCCATGATCGAGGCGCCTCGGCTGCTAGGCGCGGCGACGCCCTGGAGCCGCGGGGGAGGAGGAGGAGGAGGAGGAGGAGGAGGAGGAGGAGGGGGGGAATAAGGAGGAGGAGGCGGAGGAGGAGAAGGAGGGGAAGGAGGAGGTGGAGGGTTTAATTAGGAGCGGCCCTCCTCTTTCTCATCCTCGTCGTCGCCAGCATCTTCATGTCTCATCCTCGTCGTCGGTTTCATCGTTCTCATCCTCTTCGTAGTCGTCTTCCTTTCTCATCCTCGTCGTTGTCCTCATCGTTCTTGATCTCGTCGTCGTCGTCGCTCGAGCCGTCCACGCCTGGCGCTTGATCTACGTGGATCCGCCGCCTCATCCTCTTCCTGCTCTGGCGCCTCCTGCTGCTGCTGCTGCTGCCGCTGCTGGCGATGGCGCCCTCATCTTTCATTCTCGTCGTCGTCGTCTTCTTTTATCGTCCTCAATCGTCGTCCTCATCGTGATCGTCGTCGTTGTCTTTATTTCTCATCCTCGTAGTCGTCCTCTATCGTTCTCATCTTCGTCGTCGTCGTTCTCGTCCCCTCACCTCGTTCTCATCCTCATCATTGCCGCACTTTGCCCTCTTCGTCATTCGCCGCCCGATGAGGCGACATCCCAGATTTCAAGTGCAGCTGCAGCGACTTCGGATCCAGACCCAAGGTCAAGGAGATCCAGGCCGCCCTCGAGCCCTGGGAGAAGGGGGGGATCCCTGGGGCGAGGAGGATCTCGAGGAGGAGGGACGAA